CTTAAATCTACATAATTTTGTGTACGTCAACATTTTCGGCGCAACGTAAACCCGCTCCGCGTCAATTACGGTGTGACCCTAATCAACACTTAAATGTACATGATTTTGTGTACGACAATGGACAATAAGGTATAATTACTGGGGATTACGTAAGTAATCTCATATGGAAACAAACAGACCAGTAGCACTACCAAAGTGTGAACTCTCATATTTTATTCGACCTTCTAGAATGGAGAGATTAGTGAGAGGCTCATTCTCAATCAAGTTGATAGTCAATGGTGGAGCCCAAAAAGAAGCGAGGGACAAAATTCTTTATGAACGACTTGAATCTTAAAATTTTTTTATGACATTAATTATTTTTAAAAATTAAAAATAAATACATTTTATTTTTATATTTTTAATAATTTTTTATTAAATGACGTATTTTATTAAAATAAAAATAATATCTTTCTATGATAATATTTAAATAATAAATTAATTAATTTAATAATTTCAAAAATTTTACTATTTTCATCCAAAAATTATCTTTGTTTCATTTTACATAACTCAAAAAAAAAAAAAAGAAAGAGAAAAAAAGTAATTCAATACTTAAAAATTAAAATAATTGATTAAAAAATACTCGACCTTTTTTATTAATTAAAAAAATTCAAAATCTTAAAGGAAAATCTCAGTTTTTAATTAATTTATTTAATATGTAAATAATTTATTTATTTATATTGTAATGTTCTCATTACAAAATATTTTTTTAATATTTGAAATAATTGTTGTAACAAAAATATTATAAATTCTATTAATCTTAAGTTTTTTAATTATAAGAATTTATAAAAAAATATAAATAGTTTTGCTTTTACAATAAAATATTATAAAGAGTTAAATAAAATAATATAAGTTTTCACCTTATAAATATAATATTTAATATCCAAAAATTATATTAAATTTTAATTAATGTAAAATTAAGTTGTGTCAAATCACATTAAAATATATTTTTTTTTAATATTTATTTTTTATTTATAAAATTTAAATTCAAAATTTTGTTTTAAAAAATTAAAATTTTTTTACTCAAATTAACAAATTATTCATAAATATAATATTTGAAAATATCGTTCCACTCCTCGTTCGTCGTCGCTTCCCCGAGAGCCGAGACTCCATGGCTCGCGACCTTTTCTTCTGTCCACGATTTTAAGTTCCGTTACTCTAACGGTCGCACCTACATTGAAGTGCGTGGCCAAATTAATCACTGAGGACATCTGGTTGGGGCTGGAAGTAGGTAAAAAAAACTTACAGCTGAACAAAATTTTAAAAATGAAAAAATTATAATTGATAAGTAAAATTTAACTTGGATTTTAATTAAATTTATTTGACTAAATATTAAACTGAATTAATTTTAAACAATTTAAATTTTAGTTATTAAATTAAAAAATTAATGATTAGAGTGAGTATAATTGAAAAATCTAGACAACAAATTTTTATATAAATTTTTTAATGGTTTTTAGATATTTTTTAGGTTTTTAGTCTTTTTTATTAAATTATTTATTTATTAGATAATTTTAATTTTTTAGTGATTAAAATTAATAAAATAATAATTAAAATTAAAAAATATAAAAATAATTTTTTGGTTAAAATTAAAACTTATCTAAAGAATTACTTTTAAAAATATAATCAAAACTAATAAAACTCATCTTTTATGGTTTGATTAATAATAACTAAAATTTAAAATACAAAATTCTAGTTGACTAATAATTCAGTTGCAATTACAATTAAAACCAAACTATGCCCACCCTAGTTGGGGCGGTATGGTGGAGGGACAAGAACTCCAACCTCCCATGTCAAACAGAGAACCAAAGAAAATAGGAAAAAAAAAACAATATAGGATGGATTGGTAAAAACAAAAACAAACCCCTTTTTACAGATTATTGAGTTCTGCACTTTTCTTCCATTATATGCTTGATTTCCTTGCATGATAACCAACGGCAGTTTCCGATAACCCACCCGCTGCGGTTCATTCTGATCTGTGGACGGACAACAACGGGATGGGACGTCATCAAAACGACCTGCTTCAGAAATCACTTACTGGTTATTAGTTATTACCTAACATGCATGAGAAGATTCTTGTATGATTCACCCAATAGGATGCCCATCCTTTATTTATAAAAACTGTAGTCTTCAGATATGTACCAAGAGCATCCCTTCTAATGCTAATGACACACTGTTTTGCTATTGTCATGAATATGAATAGGGGTGGCAATTTCTGCTGAACCCTATAAGGATGCTATTGCAGGGGTGGGTGGGAAGAATATTCTTCCTCACAGGGTAGGAATGAGGATATTTTCTTTCCATAAATTTATGTAGAAAAATTTCCTTCCAAGCCTTGCAAAGATCCTCATCCCTTCAAAAAATTAAAAAAAAATATAAATTAACTTATTTTAAATTTAACCCAACTTAATACCAATGTTTTTGGACCCAGCCCGACCCAATCGGTTGAACCAGTTGAATCGAACTTGGGCTTGAAAACGGGCCGGTTGAAGGCTTAAGCCTGTTTAGGTAAATGGCTCGTTGAAACCCGTCAAACTCGTTGTGCCCGCTAAACTCGTGCGACCCGCTATGCTCGCCCGGGCTGAAATTTTCACCATCTTTTTAAGTTTTTGTCTTTTTGACTTAAATTAAAGTTTAAAACTTAAATTAAAAATCAATTAAACTAATTAACTAAGTAAAAACTAAAAACTAAAAACCCTAAGAATCTAAGATCATCAGGAGCTCGGGACAGTGGAAACAAATTGCAAAACCCAGATAGGAGGAACCAACAGAACTGCAAAAAGGTCTTCCGTCAATCTTTTCTTCGCCGATCGTCCGTTGATCTTCTCTTCGCCGATCGTCCGTTGATTTCTCTTCCACTGATCGTCCGTCGATCTTCTCCTCTATCACTGCACTTCTTCTCTTCCGATAGAAAAGCAACGGACAGAAGCATAACGAAGCTACCACCTTCAATCAAGAGAAACTGCGCAACAGCAACTCCACAGTGGACGATGATCTCGGGCTAGTGGCATGCCAAACTGCAAGCAGCTTGGAAAAGAGAGCAGCAGGGCCATGCATGTGGCGGTGGTCACTACAGAGCTTGAGGAAGACGAAGATGAAGACGCAACAAAAGAGACCGATTGTGGAGATGTTGAGAAGGTACTGGATGTTGCCATACTAGGCACCGTCCATTCCGGCGTCGTCTTCAGAGGCGGGGGAAGGAGGAGAGGGAGTTTGGTTCATTGGGGGGGATTTGGAGATTAGGGTTTGGGTGATTGGGTTTTGGGATTTTGGGATTTTGATTCATGAAGGAGAAAGATCGATGCCCGCTAAAAGCCTAAAGAGTTGGATTGGGAATGACGAATTATTTTTTATATTTAGTACTTATTTTGTAGTAAATTTAGTTTAAGATTGAATTTTTTATTATTATCATGCTTAATGAATTTATTTTATATTATGTATTTTAATATTTATTAATTTTAATTTTAAAAATTATATGTACTTAATTAAATTTATTATTTTAAATTATTTAAATAATGATTTTTAAGTTGATTTTATGATGATTATTTCTTAAAAATAGAGTAAAACTAACCTACAACAATAAAATTCAATAAAAATGTCAAAAAAAAATTTTTTTTTAGTTGATCAGTTGAATCGGTCGAGTGAATCGATTCAATCGGTTGACCCGGACCCGGTGGTGAAAACGGGCCAGCCACCGGGCTGGACTCAAAAACATTGCTTAATACCTCACAATACATTTCAAGCCAAACTCAATAAAAATTAAATTTAACCTATTTTTACACAACTCAACCTAACCCATATCTAAATCTAACCCTAAACTTACTCATCACAGTTAGTTCACAGCCAAAGCTATTGCCTTCAATGCCTACTACCAACAAGACAACACTCATTCTTTCTCACTCCTCGGTTTCTCACTTTCAAACTCTCTTAGCCTTTCACCTTTGCCTTTCTCCTATCCACTACCTAAGTCCCTCCATGGTTCCACCACCACCTACAAGCTATCGCTAGCCTACTTATTTGTTGGAACTATTGTTGAACTACTACTAAACTACACTATTGCTCCCGAGTTTGCCTTGCTTTTGGACTGTTGCTATTGAAGCCATCTACTGATCTGTTGGGGCTATTATTGCCGATTTGTTGAGGTCGTTATTGCCAATCTATTGAGGTTGTTTTGTCGATTTGTTGGGGTTGTTGTCCATCTACTAGGGTTGTTGCTAATCTTTTGGATTGCCCAAGTTTGCCTAGGTTAGCTGCTTTATCCCTAAAACCACCATATTTCCTAACCTATCTTGTATCACTATGATTCTCACCGTTGCTCTTTGTTCCAATTTTTCTTTATCCATATGAATGGACATTTATGTCCTACAGTGAATGATTGAGTTCATTACTTGACATGCTTTATGTTATATATGTTTTGTGCTTTTAATTTTTGAACTAGGCAAAATTCAGATTTATAGGACAATCTTAGGAGGTTTTGAATACCAATAACAGTACTAATTATGAATCATGGCATAGGTTGTGAGAATTAGATATCTGCATCCTAGGCAATGGTTAAGGGGATATTTTAATGTTGTTAAATTAACTTAATGATATAGTTAATATTATAAATAGTTTTTCTATGAATATGTTAACATGAAATATTTACTAATTGTATTGTAGGATTTTTTATGAGTACATGTGGAGTTTGAAAGCTTTTGAGTTTTGAGTTGCCCTCTCTTACATGCTAGAATCTGGATGTTGTACAAGGAATAAGTACCATGTTGGTTTAATTATTTATGTTGGATTGATCTTTGTTTATGTTTGGACAATTTATATTTGATTTTACCATTCATCCATTAACCTTATTGGTTATAATTAATTATATTCTTGCATAGGTGGAAACCTAGAATTTGGATGTTGTACTTGTATAAGGAACAAATCCTACGTTGATATAGTTATTTATGTTGGATTAATGTTTGTTTATATTTGGAGCATTTATATTTGGTTTTATGTTTGGAGAACTTTAGTTAATTATGCCTGAATTTTTAGAACTCTATTCATTGTGATTAAATATTAGTTGATTATATGGGGAGAATGAAATTCACATTTTGGTACAAATTAGCAGGGAAGGGGGACAAGGGGCAAAATCTACCCCTTGTCAAGAATCCTCATGGGGATCCTTGTCCCTACCATTTGTGAGGATGGAGACAAGGAGTAACTCCCCAACGTTGCAGGGTCTCATTGACGCCCTTATAAATGAAGAGCAAAACAATAAGCAATTTCTGAGTCCAATATGTATAGAAAATGACAAAAATCTCAAACCAAAATTCAAAACTTGACATGGAATCGCTTGCACCAAATATATGGTACATACATTAGTTGGAAGACTCATCAAGTGCAATAGTAAACTAGTTTTCTTCTCTTCTTTTTACAAACAAATTTATTGGAGAAGACTGATTAGTACACATTTTAGTTTAACACATTCATTAAAAAATTATTATTTTTTTGGTCTTAAATTAAAGGTAGGTAGTTTAAAGATACAAACATGTATATAAGATGCAAGAATTGACTAAATCGACTATATTTATATTATATTTTAATAATTGAAATTAGACAAATGTCAAAAGGATGAAGCAAAAAAAATAAATAAAATGAACTGAAACTTTTTAAACTTGAAGAAAAAAAGAAGAAAAGAAAGGGGAGCATTAAGCTCCACATCATATGGAATAAATGCAATCATTAAAGTGGGAGAAGTCTCACTTAATTTGACAAGTTAAAATGATCCCAATGCTCTACCCTAGTAATTAAAACTATTGGTTAGTGGAGATCACCCCTCGTGAGTTGCATCTTTGAACCCCATGCAATCCCCTTTCCCTAGTCTTCATATACCTCAAATATGTACTAATTGCATGCTGTCATTAAAAAAAAATAAGTTTTTGACAAGTTAAAACAAAATCTATAGACCTCATATAGTATTTGAGTTCACTTGCATTTTCGTGATTCGCTTGAAAATAATGGCTCCATGTCTAATGACAAAGCATCTCTAGAGGGGCTATCCTAGTGATTAGTTACTTCAATTTTAACATAAACATGTGTAGTCTCTTTGTGATTTTGTTGACCATTTGAATTGTTTTGCAAAAGACAAATTCACTGCAACTCCATAGCAACTTTTATCATCTTTGGCCACTTTTTACCACTCAAGCTTAAGCATCGATAGGCAAGTTTAGCAACCTTTGTTATTTCTTCATGTGTAGAACTCTCCCCAACTCAAGGATCAAGAATTTTACAGAGATTGTTCTCTTCCATGAAAAGAATGAAATAAGCGGCCAAACCTATTGCATCCTCTTCCTCTGCCCTTATTAAAGAAATTACTTTTTCTCCTATTAATAGCTCAACAAGAACAACTCCAAAGCTGTATACATCACTCTTTTCTGTAAATTGACTTGATTGGAAATATTTAAAGTCTAAGTATCTAAATATGCCCTTTACATTTGTGGTCAAATGAGTTTGATTAATGGCAATTGATCTTGATGTCCCAAAGTCCAAAACTTTTGTCCTATACTTTGCATCCAATAGAATATTTGAGGACTTGGCATCTCGAAGATAAATAGGAATGGAGATTGCTGAGTGTAAGTAAGAAAGTACACCTGCAACTTCTACAACAATTGTTAATTGTCTTTTCCAAGTTAATGGGATGTCTTCATTTTTATCATGCACATACTGGAAAAGTGTCTCACTAGGGATGAATTCATAAACTAGCATAGGGACTTCAATCTCTGAACAACACCCCAACAACTTCACAATGTTTCTATGATTAATATGTGTAAAAATAACCATCTCATTGATGAACTCTTTAACTTTCTCTTTATCCAATGCTTTGGACTTCTTAACTACAATAATTCTTCCATCAACCAATATTCCTTTATAAATAGTGCCTTAGTCTTCTTGACTGAGTATTCTATTCCTATAAATTGTCAGTTGCCCTCTCTAACTCCTTCATACTAAATATTTAGGTCTTTTCAACATTACCCTTAATTGAAGATAGTTGTCGTTGCAATAATAAAGCCCCATTTTGTTCGAAGAATTGCCTTTAAAGCCTCTTTTTCCTTCTCTTCTTTAAAATTTTGTACGACCACCATGTGCCAATGAGTGAACACACTACTCCAAACCCTGGGCTAATACCTGCAAATATCAAGAGAGGAGAAATGGATGACTTTGGCAGGAGATGCACATATACATCAAAACCATACAGACTCTAAAGGGTGTCTTGTACGGCGAGAAGGGTATTTTAATCCTTTTTATTTTTTGAGTTTATTAAAATGATATACTTTATTTTT